AGTAAGACATAGCTAAAATAAACCTGAATTATTTTAAACATTTTTTATTTTTTTGAGTTGGAGTCTCACTCTGTCGCCCAGACTGGAGTGCAGTGGCTGCTCCCAGGCACCGCAGCCTTGACCTGCTGGGCTCCGGCGATCCTTCTGCCTCAGCCTTCCGAGTAGGCGGAATTACAGGCACGCGCTACCACACCGGGCTAATTTTTTGATTTATTGTAGAGATGAGGTCTCACCTGCCCAGGCGGGTCTCGAACCCATGGGCTCAGGCAATCCACTCTCCTCAGCCTCCCAAAGGCGCGGGATTACAGGCTGAGCCACCAAGCCCAGCAACATTTTTTAGAGAACAACTAACTACCAGGGAATTTTCCTTTTTAGTTCCAAGAGCTTAAATGAAACATTCATGAATTAAATTCAAAGTCTGGCTGTCAAATCATTTCATGTTAATAAAAATTTGAATTACCTGCCTAAGGGCATTATTAAATATCAAATAAAAAGCACACATCCATAAGTCTGATTTCCCCCAATATAATTCTTATGTAGAACTCTGACTAGATTTGTATTACACATTTTAAGATAAAAGGATAAAAAAATGTATTCATAAAAGAATGAAATCAGAATTAGAGTAACCTTAGAAAGAATTCTTGTACCATGCTTAGGAATTTGGGGGAAAATTGCCCTCTTTAAGTAATCTCAGCCACCAAGAACATAAATCCATCCTTTTTTCTAAAACAGTACCTAAACTGTAATTAATTCAAAACTCTGAAAAAATACACATCATCTATCATATAAAGATTATTTATGAAGTGCTTGAAATATATAAAATCTCATAAACAACATTTCAGTCTGTATGTGTGTGAGAAAAAGAGATAAAATAGTGATAGTTATTTAGAGAACAGCAACTCTGGTCTAGGACCAGAAGTGAATCAAACATTCAAGGAAATAATCTTCCTTCACTAAAAGCGTCATTTACAGTTATGACATTCACAGAAAGTATACTGGTAATGTAAACTGGAGAAATGCTTACAGTCGTGCTCACCAACTCTCACTGCATCTCACACTGCCCCCTTCTTGGGCATTTCCCGGGGCACATCTCCCTTCCCATCTTTCCTGCTACTCTCACCCCTCCTAGCTGTACCCCATTCTTCATTAAATAATAACAGCAAGTCATGGACACACTAATTCTATAAACCACCATCTTCTTCCTCCTTCCTATAATGACACAGAAAGTGTCAGTCCTCGTAACAAGTCAGTCTTCAGGTGTGCTCAGGATTTTATCCCCTTCAACTTTTCATGGACTTCACTGCTCAAGCCCCTCCCAGAAACAGCCTTCAGCCTCTCTCTCCATCTACTTGCTTCTCCCTGACACTAGCAGACAGACAAATTCTGGTATTTTTTGGTTTTTTGTCTTTTTTTTTAATTAAGGGGTGGGGGGAGAGAAAGAGTTCCCTCAATCTCATCCCTTCTCTGTGGCTGCAGCCTTCGGCCCCTCGCCCAGCCCAGTTCATCAAGAGTTGCCATGACAGGACATCTCCAGCTCCCCTACTATTCACATTTGGTCTGCTGATGTTAACATTCCTCATTGCTGTGCCACTCTGACCACCAGTGTGGAGGGCCCACTTTGATCTCTGCTCATGTAATGGTTAAGAAAAAGGACACTGCTAGTCAAGGAACCTGGATCAGACTTCCAACTCTGCTGCTCAATAATTGCATTACTTTTGGCTCATAGCCAAACTTCTGTGTCTTGATTAACTCATCTACAAGGGCTCACACAGATTTTATGAACACTTAATGAGGCTATCATATTAATCCATCAGAACATGATATGTACATATATGTGTGCATATATAATCTCTATGCCAAATACTGCTATATTTCAGCCCAGACCTCTTTACTGATCTCTACTCAAAACTCTAATGACCTTTATGACCAGGAGATGATGGGCATCACTCACTGTGCTATCTCCATCCAAAGAAGGTCTCCCCATATCTTCCCTGACACTCAGTGGCACTCCATCCAGTTTCTAACACCCCAAACACCAGAAGTTGTCTCTGACACTTCCACCTCCTTCCACCCTCACCCAGTTCATCACTATATATCACCTACGATTCTATTTCAGAACAAGCTATTGAAAATATATATGTGGGCCGGGCTCAGTGGCTCAGCCTGTAATCACAGCACTTTGGGAGGCCGAGGCGAGTGGATTGCCTGAGCCCATGGGTTCAAGACCCACCCGGGCAACTTGGCGAGACCACATCTCTACAATAAATCAAAAATTAGCTGAGCGTGATAGCGTGCACCTATAGTTCCAGCTACTCGAAAGGCTGAGGCGGAAGGATTGCCAGAGCCCAGCAGGTCAAGGTTGAGGTGGCTGGGAGTATGCCACTGCATTCCCGTCTGGGGCGATGGAGTGAGACTCCAACTCAAAAAAAAAAAAAAAAAAGTATATATATATATATATGCCATCGGCTCACTCCTCTGAATAAATATCAGAGGAGGGTCACAATTATAGGGTCACAATTCATAAACAACAAAATAAAGATTACTTACCGAGGCTGACAAGGCCCTTTAAGAAAGTGGACCTTGAACAATTATTGTAATACTATAAGAAAAGTATTGTCAGTAGTGGGAAATTGCTGGGGGTGGAGGGCATGATTGGCAGTAGTGGGATTCTGCTGGGGGGGGGGTGGCACACCTCATCAATAAGGGTATCTGCATAATGAAAATTTGTATACTTAACCCTAAATTGTACTCCACATCTTTAAAAAAAAAAAAAAAGATATGGACCCTTCCTACCTCACATCTTCAGTTTCTTTTCTTTCTTTTATTTTTTTTTAATGAGTTGGAGTCTCACTCCATCACCCAGGCTGGAGTGCAGTGGCACGCTCATGGCCACTGCAGCCTTGAACTGCTGGGCTCAGGTGATCCTTCCCCCTCAGCCTTCCAAGTAGTTGGAACTATAGGCACATGCTACCATGCCCAGATAATTTTTTGATTTATTGTAGAGATGAGATCTCGCCAAGTTGTCCAGGCTGTTCTTGAACCCGTGGGCTCAGGCAATCTTCTCATCTCGGCCTCCCAAAGTGCTGGGATTACAGGCTTGAGTCACCACATCCAGCATACCTTCAATTTCTATACCTCAGACTCATGGGGCTTCCTTTCAGGTGCCTCAATGCATCAGTCTCACTTCCTCCATAGTCAGCACCACCTAAGGGCCTTTGCAAAAGACATTCCTCCTATCTAGAATCTCCCCCACATGCTTTGTTCTTCTCATTCATGAAATTTATTACAATTTGTAATTGTATATTTGGAGTGTTTACTTGTCCATTGTCAAGTTCCCTATCTCAGACCCTAAGCTCTTTGAGGGCAGAGATAGTGTCTATTCTTCTTACCACTGTATACCCAGAACCAATCACATAGTAAGTGCTCAATAGTAATTTCTGACTGAACATTTTAATTCTTTAGCTCATCCATTATAAGGCTTAGCTTAATGCATGGGTTCTTCTCCCTTGTTATCATATATGACTTAATGAAAGTTTCTTCTTATTCCTATCCAAGATGACCTTGCCTGACCCCCATCATCTCCAAAATTAGAAAAAACAAGGTAGGGGATGGACTGCACTGGCATACTTAGAAACCGAGAATGAATGAACGGCCAGAATGAGGCTGACTGATACACAACATGGAAAGTTCAAGGAACTTCTAGTTTGCCTGAAGTCACTCAAAGCACAGAGTGTTATGTGTTATGATGGATTCAAAATAAAACAAACACATTTCAACCTTTAAGGAGTCTGAAATAGGACAGTAAAATAAGAATACTGTAATAGCTATGTAGAATAAAGAATGCAAAACAAGAGATTCAATTTAAGGGAAAAGCAGAGGTTCTACCGTGAGAACACTATCTGAGCTGGGCCTCTAGGGAGGCTAGTATTTCAACAGGCAGAAGGAAGGATGGGAAGCACGGGCTGAGCAGAACACATTCACAGAGGAGAAAAGACAGCTTTGGCTGGAGTACTGGGTACACACACTGCAATAATAACAAAGAGGCAAGAAAAATGGATTGGGAAGCACATGGATAAAATGACCCACCTTTCAAAATTCCTGTGTCAACTGTCTAGCTCATAAGACTTGAGTTCCTTGAGACCAGAGACTTCTATTCCACTGTGACTCCCTAGCCACTCACTTGGTGTGTGAGTTCATACAACAGACACTAAACAGTCAAACAGATGCCTTCCTCCTACAGAAGCCATAGTCTACCTGCAATGTATAGTCACCTATGCATTCAGGTAACTTACAAGGTAAAGAAATAATCCAGTATAGGTCACTTAAAAAAATATTTTACCTTTTCTACATTTGTGATATTTTATTTTGTTAGTTCCTTAAGGGTAAAGTATATATACAATGAAATCCACATATTAAAATTAGATTACGTTTCAATTCATATACCATATTCAGATAGTTAACAAGTGCTTCTTGATCTTTCAAATAAAAAGCACTTCCACCGGACAAGTATTCCAATTCATGCTAGGTTGGCCCTCATCTTCCCTGAGAAACAAGGGGATCAATTCTGCATTAGACAAGGAGGGTCAACATTGAGGCTGACACACTCCTCGAGTCCGTGCTTTGTGCTCCTCAGTCATTGGGAGGTGACTAACTGCTGCTTCAAGGGGTAACAACGTCAGTTACTTAAGAGGTCCTTGAATGTCTCTGTTTCTCTGTTTCAGGGTGTCTTTTTTTTTTTTTTACGAATGCCATCAAAACTTGGAATTAAAGGCTGTTCTTGTAGGAGAATATGTGAATTATGTATTTTTTAAAACACTGCCCAAAATTAAAATAACTACCTGACCTGTAATTAACAGGGCTTGAGAATGTGTCATAAACTTTATCAAAATAAAGTACACATGTTTTATTGCTAAATTATCAAATTTGCTAAAGATTAACTTTGGTATGTCAGATTTATGTAACTGTGTGCACCTCATTTTCCTTACTTAATCTGAACATACCCCGATGAAGGTAGATTTGTTCCTGTTCTCTTTGGCTATTGAAATGCAGCTCTAATGACTCTGTCACTAAGTGGCTGAGTGGGTCGAAAGTTGTCTCCCAAAATCCCATCACAACCTTCCACAAGTTCTGCCCCTTTAACATGCGTCCTCAGCCTTCGAAATTCTTCTATCTGAAAATAAAAGCAGAACAAGATAGATGAGTCAATTATCAAACATTAGAAGAATGAAGCTTAATAAATGACTTCAAATATGCAGAAATTACAACAATTAGAAAAGAAAAAATTAAACTTCCAAAAGGTCTTAATTCTTCTAGACCTAAGACATTAGACAAAATCCATTCAAGAGATAGCAAAAAAAACAGAGGTATCAAGATCTCTGGACAAATCAAACAGCCATAGAAACCTGTTGGAATTGTAAATGTGAAAACAACATAAATCTATCTTCAAAAAAAGGTTTTATGTCTGTCATAACATAATTAGAATGAACAAATTAGTAAGTGTTCTTATATATTTCCCAAGTATATTTTCAATTAATAGATTCTGATGTTACTGTATATTTAATATTGATTAGATATTAGATTTATTAGATGGATTAGAGGTTTCCTTCATCAAAAGACTTTCTTTGTCACATGTCTAGCCCTTTGGAGAACACAGGCTCAAAGAACACCTATGATTTTCCAGAAGTTAAAGCCCAACTTCCTATCTTGGCAATACTGATTTTCAAGTTCATCTCCCTTTCTAGGGAAGCATTTCCAGCTCCCATGGCTTCCCCATTATATGCGAAGAGGGTCCCAGAGTCCAGAGAGCCTTTTTCCATCAGCCACAAAGCAGTTTCTCTCACTCTCCAGCTGTAAGCCTCCTAAGAACCTGGAGTCTGCCAGACTTGATTCTCTGGGAAGTACTGAAGCAACAAGCAAACATGTGATGAGCATTCTCGAGGCTCATTCCCATCTATTTATTGATTTGCCTACAGGGCTCATCATCTGTTATTTCACTTAAGTACCACATAGTCACATGACACACAGACATTCTTCATTCTTCTTATACAGAAGGGGAAACCAAGGCTGGAGAGGTTTCAAGTCTCCAAATTAACTAGAGGGAGAAGTCTGAGACTTCCAAGTTTATCTGCTGTTTCCCAGCTCCACAACCACCATCTAAGGAATTCTAATCAAGTCAGCAAAATCTATAGCCTGCAAATATCCTAGGGTATTGAGCAAATGTGACTGATTTGAGCAGCATCAATCCACCAAAAGTTCACCACCTAGGTATCAAACCACTATACCTACAAAGGTCCTTAACATGACACACCTGTAGAACTCTGTTATTCATAAAGAGAAATGATATGCAAGAGATTAACTAATTCAGGGATCCTAACAAAAGTCTAGAAACACCAAGAGACTTTAGGGGGTCCATAAAGCCTCTGAATGATATATAAAAGTTTACATGATATATAAAAGTTTGCATTTTACTAAGGAGAGGCTCCCTGACTCCCAGAGTTGAATCTCAGAAGACTCTAATTCTATCCACTCATAGACAAAGTTGGGGAAAATTAAATGACTTGTTAGATTAGAACCCAAGTTAGAAAGTTGTCTTCTAAAGTTCTAATTTGTCATGTCTCCAAATACAAATTGATTTTCCTGAATAAGATAAGTATGACCCAATTGAGACTGCCCTGTTTTGTTGTTGTTGGTGGTGGTGGTGGTTGGTTTACACTAACTGCTTTCTGTATTTATATAGAGGTAACAGTCAGATAAGCAATTAGCAATCTAATCTGCATGATGGTTTTTCATTTGTCCTTCTTAGAGTGGAAACATGGGTAGCTTTTAATGTTTGCTGAATCTGGAAAATTTCTAGACCTTAGAAGTTGCATGAGAATCCTGTATGGTGCTTTCACCTTAAAATTTTCCCTAACTATAGAGTGGAAAAGAACCTGGGTAGTGAGAGGAATTTACACTTTCTCAAAAAGAAGAATATGATTGCGAAGACAGTGGGCTCTATGACCAAAGGCTAGTTCTCACCATGGCTCTGCCACTTAAGACCCAAATGACCAAATGACTTCACCTCTTTAAGCCTCAGTTTCCACAAGTGTACAATAGAGATGATAATAACTGTATTCATAAGGATGGCCTAAGAAGTAAATAAGAAAATTTATGAGAATCACTCAGCATGGTCCCAAGCACATAGGAAGTATCTAAAACAGTACTAGTACTTCTAATACACAGTTTCTTTTGAAGTCAAGCCTTTAGCATTTTCAGATGAATATTAAGCTACAATTGCATATGCAGAATGTAGATAAGCCAAGTCACTGAGGAAATTTAGTCATCTCTCCAAGCCTTCCCTTTCCATGTAATCATACTTAAAACCTGCAACCAGACTCCATAAGTCATAGATGGGATTACTCATGAGCAATGTGGGCTCGGAACTTTACTGCCTAAATATATTTAAGAAATACTCTGATTTTTGTTGACTTTGAAGATTTTTTTTGTATAGCTGGGTTAATTTTATATTTATATATTCTGAACTGAAGATAAGCCTTTCAAGCCCTAGGCCTTGGCCTGAAGCACATCCTGTGAAAACAACTTCTTCCAGAAGAGATGATCTGAATCAACAGATAGCTGGTCTCAAATCACTGTACTCTCAGAGAAAACTATTTCACAAGAAATGTTTTTCTCTGATCACAGCAACACTTTGAAGACTTCAAACATCAACAGAGATCGAGGGGAAAACATGTCTTTCTGAAATGCCAATTTTTCTGAAGTAACCATCCCTCAAAACCCTTTAGTCACTTCAAATGGTTTCCAGTGCATAGTGAATCAGCCCACACTGAAAAGGAGAGATTGTAATAAATGAACAGAATAATATTTCAGGATAAAATCCTTCAACAAAATTCAACTGTCAGGGCATTACAGAGACCATCATTATCACATATATCTGAATGTGTGATTGCATCAATTTTAATGCTACACCACTTAAATATGGTGTTAGTTTTTAACCAATTTAAGAGAGAATGGTGGCTGGGGGTGGACAGAGAAATCCAACACTTCAGGGAGAAGTCCCCGTCTTCTGAAGCTACTAGACTGAATAGTCACTGTTCTCTGACCCAGAGATGGGCTCCAACTGGTCCAAGACATTTATTCCAACTGTCACCAACTCATAAACCAAATTATTCACCAGAAGTTAGGCTTCAAAATTGCTTCATTTATGAGGACATTCAAAGGGCTCATTTCCAGGGTTTGCAGATTGATGCCACTTATCTTTCAGAGCTCTCAAGTTCCTATGCCGATCCTCTAACAGACTTATTCTGACTTATGTTACATGTGTCATGTTAAAAGAGAAAAACGTAATACAGGAAAATCAGTGTGTTCTATCTCTTCTTCATCTATCTATGAACATTTAAGTTGTTTTCATGTCTTGGCTACAATGCACATGGGAGTACAAACATCTTTTCAAGATACTGACCCCGATTCCTTTCAATCTATACCCAAAAAAGATAATAAGCCAGACACAGGAAGACAACTATTAAACAATCTCACTTAGAATCTGAAATAGTCAAACTTACAGAAGGAGAGAGTAGAATGGTAGCTGCCAGGAACTGGTGAGAGTTGGAAATGGGGAGGTGATAATGAAAGGGTACAAAGTTTCAGTTATGTACCATAAACAAGTCTTGGAGATCTGCCAGACAGCACAGTGCCTATAGCTAACAAAACTCTATTGCATACTTAAAATTACCAAGACAGTAGATCTTATGTCAAGTGTTCTTACCAAAAAATAATAATAACGATAACAAAGAGTATAGAGGAGGAAACTTTGGGAGGTGCAAGAAATATGTCTGGCCTTGATAAAACGTGTTTTTTTTTAAGTTGGTTTTCTCATTTTCCTTTATTATTAATAACAATACATGAGCCAACAAATTGTGCTTAAATAATCCATATAGGAATATACAGTGAAATTGATACAGATAGAACTCCCCAGACTTCATGTACTGCAGTCTTGTTTCTGTTTGTTTTCATTTCTTCTACCCCATTATCTAACTTTCCACCTAAAATTATAGCTCCCTCTTCTTTCCTTACCTCTCATCCACAAACCAACTCTCACTGTCACTGACTCTTTGATCTTTGCAATTTTTTTGAGGACGAGACTAAGGAAGACAGCCGCATTTGCTCCCCAGCTACACTGCTGTCAACGTTCCTGATTCCCATCCCAAGCCTATAGGAGTCTGGCCTCGGCTGCTGTCCCCTCATCACCTCAGGATAGTATTGATGAGCCTCACAGATTGGAACTTATTCAAGAATTGCAGATTACAGAGCTTTGGACCACAGGGAAGTGCTGCCTACCACAGAAGACACTGAGAAAATACAAAAGTTTCCACCTAAAGATACTACATTTTAAGAAAGGGAAGAGGGAGTCTCCCAGGAGAGAAAAATTATTGATTTATATTATCCAGGATGGCAGTCACTAGCCCTCAGGTAGTTACTGAGCATTTGAAATACGGCCAGTCCAAACTGAGCTATGCCACGTTGCAGAACACACACTGAGAGTCAAAGACTCAGCATGAAAATAATAATGAGAGAACTCTCATCCATGCTTTTTATATTAATTACATGTGCAAATGATAGTATTTTGAATACACTGGGTTAAACATACCATTTGAATGAATTTCACATATTTGACATTTTTGCTATGGCTACTAGAAAGTTTACTCCTACAAGTGTGACTCCCAATGTGTTTGCACTGGGTAGGGCTGCCCTATACTGTCCTTCACACTCACCTTCAGACTTCAGCATCCTGGTGCTAAGAGTGCTGATATAAATTACAGGTAGAGACGAATGCAGGCAGATGTGAAACAGTGGTTCTCAAAGTACTTGCTCCAAGAAAAATGCAGTTATCAGCAACTACTTCAGACTTACAGAACCAGCAGCCCTGGGGCAGAGCCCAGCAATCTGTGCTTTAACAAGCCCTCCATAGGATTCCCATGCACACTCGAGTTTGAGAACCATGAATGCCTTAGTCTGCATTGTACTACCATAACAGAATATCTGAAACTAGGTAATTTATAAAATACAGAAAAATATGTTCTCACAATTCTGGAGGCTGGAAGCAAGATCAAGGTGCCAGGATTTGGTGTCAGGTGAAGGCCTTCCTGCTGTGTCCTCGTGTGGCAGAAGGGCAAT